TAATCACTTCGACGACTACTGGTCATGGGAGCCACCCTGGTGCGCCGTGTCTGCACGGTTTGTCACGAGGGAGGTGCTTCGGGTGCTTGAATACGGCACTGACGAGGCCAAGGCCACGCATGGCCGCAATATTCCGTTGTTGGGTCTTATTTTCAGCTCTCGCGACGTGGGCCCCCTCGTCAGCAACCGCAGTGGCAGGCAGGGGCCGCTTGCCCAGGAGTGCGAAGACCTCGCGCGCGGCCGTCCGCAGGCGGGCCCAGCGGCCACGTGTATAGGTGAAGTTGTTTTTGTTGCCTCGCGGGGCCTACAGGGCAAAGCGGGGGCGCACAGCGTGCGCCCCCTTTTTGAGGCTCTGGGCAGGATGGGAACCATCCAAAGGCAGGGCTCCTGGCCACCGCCAGTGCAGGTTCCCTTGCATTTGTGGGCTGACTTTCTCAGGCCCGGGCCCCCGCGGGCGGTGCCTCTCGCGCCCGCTGGTGCTCAGGTCGCTGCGTTGTATGGTGACGCTGCTATGGGCGCGCGCAGGGCCGCAGTCGTGCTGATTATTCAAGCGCAGGATTTCTGCGAGGGTTTCAGCCTAGCTCTCCCGCTTGCCGTGTTGGAGACACTCGGGCCGAGCGAGGAGCGCGCCATCGACGGCGCGGAAGCATGGTGGACTGCTTGAGCGCTTGACGTTTGGGGTGCCAAATTAAGGCCTATGTTTTTTCTATTGCTGTGGAGACAACACGGCGGCCATTTCTGGGTGTATCAATGGGTGCGCTCGTTCTCCCCGCGTCGCTTGCGTGGTCGGTGCAATGCGCGACTTGATGTGTTTTTTCGACATCAAGTGCTGGTTTGAATACGTGCATGCGTCCTCCCCCTCGACGCTGCTTCCCGCGAGCGCGGGGGAGATGCGCTTCGAGCGCTCGGGGCTGAGGTGGCCGCTGTCACCCCCGCGCTCTCGGTGGACTTCGGCCGCTGCCATTGTGCGTGGGGCCTTGGAGTCGTGCCATTTCTGTTAAGAACAGAATCCTACGTCGATTCGGGAACGTCGTCTGCTGGGGCCTCTTCGTGTGCGGGGCTCGTCGCGTCGTCTTCGTGGTCGTCGTCGTCGCCCCCCCCTCCTCCTCTTCCCTCCGTCCTCCCCCCTCCATGCCTTCCCCCCTGCTTGCTTCCTCCCTTCTGTTTTTGCCCTTTCGCCCCTTCGCCTGGATCGGGGCAGCGAGCAAAAGTGGAAGCCCCAGGTGCGGCGCCGGCCGGCCGCCGGATATGGAGGAGAAGAAGGATAGGAGCAGAGGATACAGGGGGGGAGGAGGAGGACAGGACGCGCGTCGAACGAGGAGCTCATGAAGGAGAATGCGGGGAACGACGTTGCGCGCGAACGTCGGCCGCGCTCGGCTCGAAGGCCCCTGCGGGGTGGCAGCGCCCTCCCCGTCATGGCTACTAGGCTGCGCCGGGTGGGGCCGGCCTTCCCCCCCCCTCGGTGCCCCGCGCGATCCGGCGCCGTTCTGGTGCCCGCGGCGCCGCGCAGACTTACGAGTCCACTGCGGTCGCTCTTCGGCCCCGCCGGGCCCGGCAAGCAAAGGTTTCGCGGGCCCAGCCCGTACGGCAGCCTCGCGCCGTGCAGGCGCGGCGGCGGCCCCAGCGCGGGCGTTCAAGATTCGACGCCGCCAGTGGCCCAGAAGCGGCCAATGTGGAACGATGGGGCCATCGAAAAGCAGCCGATCGTTCGGGGTTGTGGCAGAAACCAAGTCTGGCTCCGCCATCGGGGGCCTGTCGCTGGTCTGCCTGCGATGTATCGCTGATGCCAGGTCGATGTTCTCCCCCCCACTCCCCTGGTCCAGTCCCCCCAAGGATCCTCTTCCCATCGTTTTCGGGTCATTGCTCGGATCTCTGGCGGCCGTTTGGGACGATCTGTGCACCCCTGGACGTCTCTTCGGCGAGGCGCAGCCGCTGGAAGGCATCTCGTGGCTGGAAGACCAGACCGCCGAGAACCGACGAACGAGTTTCGAAACCTCAGATGAGCGACGCAGACAAACGGGGTCGTCTGCATGGACATCGGCGCATGCTCTGTCCGCGTAAGGTCGCGCGAAGACGCCCTCGTCTCCGATGCGGCCCCTGGCAGCACGGTTAAGTCGCGGTGTGAGGTCGCTGTGCCATCTTGCGTAAGACCCGTTGTTTTCGTCGTCCAGGTGATCCTGGAACGTTCGGCCGCCTATCGTTGGCCCTTCGGCCCCGGTGCCTCGCGGTGTCGCCGGCCCGAACGTGGCCTCAGGATCAGGGCGTGGTGCGGTACCTGGGCCCCATCGACGGCCAGGAGAGCTCGCCCCTCGTCATCTTTGTATGCTCCCCGCCGCCTCGTGGTGCAGGTGGGAGGAGGAGGAGGAGGAGGAGGAGGAGGAGGAGGAGGAGGAGGGGTATGAACCATTACTGACACGGGTACTGTGCCGGATCGTTGATCACATGGGCCGAGGGTGGCTTCCTCCATACATCAACCAGGACCCGGTTCAATGGTGGAGGCGGAGCTACAATAAAGTAGCGGACGGCTTGGCGAACATAACAATGGATACCCGACGAACGTGGACGAAAATATACGCGCACCATATGTCCATGCAGGAAGCCAACGTGGTGATCCAGACGGACGGGGGCCTACGTGACGGTGATTGTGCCGCGGCTGCCTGGGTGATCGGTCTGTGGGGAAAGCCTGCTGGTGGCTACCATTATCATTACAAGCCTGTCGTTGTGCACGGCACATTCATCCAGTTACCTTGCACGGCTTTCGCAGCAGAGGCTATCTCATTGGACGAAGCGTCACGAGAAGTTGCTGCTTTACTTCTACAAGTGAGGCAAACGGCTGGCATTTAGGTGTCTTGAGACCGTCATGAACAGAACAGAACAGGAGGAGGAGAAGCAGGAGGAGCAGGAGGAGGAGGAGCAGGAGCAGGAGCAGGAGGAGGAGGAGGAGCAGGAGGAGGAGGAGGAGGAGGAGGAGGAGGAGAGGAGGAGGGCGTGGTGGAGAGGGAGGGGGGGGAGGAAGAGGAGGATCCTCTCCGTCCTCCTCCCAGCTCCTTCCTGGTCATGCCCAGTGCGCAGAGAACGCTGGAGACCAAGGCCCCACTCACGTGGGACTCGCCAGCGAGGCCCATGCGATTCCTCGCGGCGGGCTTCTCCTCCTCCTGCTCCTCCTTCTCGTCCTCCTCCCCTTACTCCTCTTTCTGTTGTGTTTTGAATGTAGTTATTCTTCTTATTCGTCTTCTCCTTCTTGTTATGATTCTTCAACTTCGTCTTTATCTTCTTCACATTTTTCTTCATTTTCTTCTTCTTCTTCTTCTTCTTCTTCTTCTTCCTCTTCATCCTTTTCTTTATCTAATGGCCTTCGGCCCATCACGCCACCAAGCCTGGGTCATGGATACGAAGCCTATTGGATGTTCGTTGGGATCTCGTGGAGGCGTCTTGGAGGCAGTTGAGGCCTCCTGGGGGCCGTTTTGGGGACTCTCGGTGTTTCATTTGGGTCTCTTTGGGAGCCTCTTGGGGCCTCTTGAGGGTCTGTCGGCGGCATCTTGGGGCCTCTTGGGCGCAAATTGGGGCCTCCTGGGGGTCTCTGGGGCGGAATGGCCGGATTTTCGGTTGGTGTTCCCTGTCCTGGGGCCCCTTTTGGGACCGTCTTGCGGCCGGCTTGCGCCTCCTGGGCCGTCCTGGGACGTTCTTAGGCAGTCTTGTGGCCCTCTTGGAGATCTCTTGGGCCGTCTTGGGATGGTCTTGGGGGCCTTTGGGGCCGTCGTGGAGCGTCGGACAACAGAAAAGGCCATAACGCCAAGATCATTGACTACCTGGCCAAAGGCCGAACCATGTGCAATTGTGAGTACCGCATTGTGGGTACGGACCGGTTTCGATGGAGCTCCATTTGGGGCCACGATACGTGTGAGGGGCGTGGCGACATGGGCGCGGTGGTGCTGTTGCCCTGGGGCCTTCGGTGGAGCTGCCTACTGTGCCACGAAGCGTGCTAGGGGTGTGCCGAAACGGGTGCGGTGGTGCCATGCGGGCGCTGCCACTGGGGCCTCAGGTGGAGCGGGGCCACGAAACGTGTGAATGGTGTGCCGAATTGGGTGCCGTGGTGCCATGCGGGTGCTGCCACTGAGGCCTTCGATGGAAACGTGTGAGGGGGTTGCCGAAATGGGTGCGGTGGTGCCATGCGATCGCAGCCACTGGGGCCCTCGGTGGAGCTCCCTATGAGGCCACGAAGCGTATGTGGTGTGCCGAAATCGGCGCCGTGGTGCCATGCGGGCGCTGCCACTGGGGCCTTCGGTGGAAACGTGCGATGGGTGTGCCGAAATGAGCGCGGTGGTGCCATGCGAGCGCAGCCACTGGGGCCCTCGGTGGAGGTCCCCATGGGGCCACGACACGTATGAGTTGTGCGCCGAAGTGGGCGCGGTTGTGCCATGCGAGCGCAGCCACTGGGGCCTTCGGTGGGGCTCCTTATGGAATCACAAAGCGTGTTAGGTGTGCCGAATCGGATGCGGTGGTGCCATGCGGGCGCTGCCACTGGGGCCCTCGGAAACGTTTGAGGGGGTGCGCCGGAATTGGTGCGGTGGTGCCATGCGGCGGACGCAGTCATTGGGGCTCTCGGCGGAGCTCCCTGTGGGGTCGCGAAGCGTGTGAGGGGTGCCACAAGGGGTGTGATGGTGCCATGCGAGCGCAGCCACTTGGGCCTTCGGTGGAGCTACCCATGGGGCCGCGAAGCGTGGAAGGGCTGCGCCCAAACTGGCGCAGTTGTGCCATGCGAGCGCAGCCACGGGGCCTTCGCTCCCTATGGGGCCACGAAGCGTGTGACGGTGTGCCCCAGTGGGTCCAGTGGTGCCATGCTAGCGCAGCCACTGGGACCTTCGGTGGAGCTCCCTAGGGTCCACGAAGCGCGGATGCAAAAGAGGCGGCTCATATTGAGTTCAGCCGGCCTCAAGCCAATACCACGGTTGTGTCCACCGCCTCAGCCAAAGAACATGTTGGTCTTCCGCGTGCTCCGTCAGGCCTTCGTCCCAAACCGCGTTTACGAGCGAACCGATCCGACAAACGGACGCGGGGAGGTATGCAGTGTCAGTTGCAGCAGAGGTCAGCCAGCTTTCACGGCCATATGCTGACAATACTGTGCAAAAAGGCTGCGGCTATCTTCACATACCGGCGGGAACTGTTCCAGGCGCGGCATTTGCTTCGAAAGCCATTCAGACTGCTCTACGGCTTGTTTCTGGCTGCTGAGATCGCACTCTCGGGCCAAGCGGGCCCATTGAACATCTATGAACCCAACTTGCTTCCATTACTTTTGAATTTTGCGGCTCTCAGGGGTGATGATGTTGATTGGTCGCGGGTCTTCTTTACTTATGCATGTAATCTGGACGCCTCGCTGGAGGTATGGGAGGCTTGCGGCATTCTCCCACATCCTGTAGACCGGTTCCGCGCGAAACGTGCCATGGAGCAGTGGTTTCGGCAACACGGAGTGCCAGTTCCAACGCCGTGGCGTTTCGTAGTGCCCTCCGCTGCTTGGGTGCCTTTCGCCCGGAAGTCGGTGGGGAGGCTCGTGGTTGCGTTGGCCGCGACATCCCCCACGCTCGCACGTCTCCAATGGCAGAGTTTCCGTGTTATTGTATCGGGCAGGTGCACGTTGAAGCGTGTTGTTTTGAACGTTGTCCGTTGGTCGAACAGCTTCAGCCCAATGGAGTTCGGTCGTTTCGATGCCGATTCTTTGAACTGGTGCGCAGAAGGCATAGACATGATCAGGTTCCCTATCTCTGGCCGGTGGCCTGTGCAGATTGCGCATGAGGAGCAAGAGTGGCAAGTTGCGTGTGAGTTCGAGAGGTTGGTCTCTTGTGCCAGGTCGTTTGGGGCAAACGCTTACATCGCCAACTTGCTTGTCGATGCGCCTCCGCAGCCCCAGAGGACGACGCCGTTGATTGACTGGGCGTCCCAGATTGCAACGTCGTTATCGCAAATCGGACGTGACGTGTGCATCACGACGGAAGATAAAGATAGCAATGTATTGTGGTTGTCCTCCTCACTTGCACTCCGAGCACGCTGGGTGGCCCAATTTGCGAAGTTCCCCAATACGTGGCGGTTCAGGTGTCAGAAAGATGTTCTCCACAGCGCTGTCCAGAAATACCGTTTCGCAAACGACAGCGGTCTGCCCAGGTCTTTGCGGCCTCGTTCTACGGCCGTCCCCCGAGGCACGTTACCATACATGTACCCGACCATAAAAAGAAAATGTTGGAGGTCGTTTGCTGACCCAGGCACGACTCAGGTTCACGTGTGCAGAAAGCCGGTGCACTCATGCCATAGGAATATCATTAGTTTCTCGAAAGTGCCCGCGAAGCAAGCGTGGCGAGCATGTGCACGCGCATTCATGTTCATGATTCGATCCTGTCTGAAAGGGTGGTCCTTTCAGAGCATGGACACAGTGGTGTCAGAAATCCGCGCTGCTATGACTGCAGCGCGGCCGGGCTCCAGGGACCTGTTTGGACGTCGAGTGTGTTCCGCATGCGGATGTATCATGCAGGTACCTGGCGCAGTCACCGCCGATGCTGGGCAGGCGTTCGAGGCTTTGTCGGAGGATTCAATCAAAGACGGCCTGTGATGATATTTTCCGTCGATTCGAAGCCGCGTTCGGGAACTCCACAGTTTCTGTAACGAAAGGCCGGCACCCGTCTGCCAGCCTCGGGGGTAGTACCAAAGCCCCGTACCCCGACAGATACGTGTTCACCACAGCCGCCATCGGGAAAGCCATCGACACATATTTGAATATGCGTTGGTACAGACTTGGCGACGCGATCTGGGAACAAATGTCGGGCATCCCGATAGGTGGATTCATGTCTTCTGCGATCCTGGAGGCGGTGCTCCAACACCGGGAGCACAGAGCTGACGTTGCCCGCCTTGAACGTGGCCATGAACGGGTGCGTGGCCGGTATGCCGACGATTTGGTCCTTCTGAGCCGCTCGCGGTGTTCAGCTTGCTTAGCGGCAAAAATCCCCAATGTGTACGGTAACGCTTTGACCTTTGACGTCGACGACAAACGCCACGAGTTTCACGATTCAGTGTCGGTGGAGTATCTGGACATGGTTATCCACGTGTCTTTCGATATGTTAGAATTTACGACCGTACATAAGAACTTTACTTATGCTTTCAGTGGCAAGGTGGCAGACATAAAGAAGCACAACATGGAACCGTATCTGGGATATTTCAATAGTAGTGTCGTGGCCAGGCACAGGGGCGAGCTCATTGGGCGTGTCCGGCGCTGGCGGACAATCACAGAGCATCCGCTATGTCTTGTTGTCCTCATCGCTGTGGACATGGTCCTCTGCATCCGAGCGGGTTTCGCTTTGGAGCACGTTCGATTACTGTGGCGCTCTCTCCACGTTGATCTTACATTCCGGAACCTCGTCTGGGCGAGCTTCGACCTGGTCAAGTACAGCTGTGCACACGTTCGGCCCACTCCTGCGTCTCAGCTGGCTGAGATACAGCGGGCTGGCGACTTAGCCCAATCCCTGGCGTGCTGTTCAGCCGGAGACATGGCCGCCCTGATGGGCGTTGTTGGTCGGCTGGTCCCGGCTGCGAGGACGGGACAAACTGCTCCGAAAGCGACTGTCCTGGCCAAGGCGCTGAGCACGCTCCTCCAGAGCTCCGTGCGGACGCCCCGGCTTCATCCGGCCATAGCGGCGGACTTTGCCAGGCGTATCCTTGAAGGCCTTGTGGCTTGACTTCTTGGGCCGTTTCCCGCCCCCCTTCAGGACGGGGGTCGCTGGTGGAAGCTGGCGGAAGGCTGGCCGCAGCCGGCGGGAGCGACGGCTGCCCCCCCAAAGGAAGCTTGGCATCCGTTTTCAGGCACGTCGTGAATTGAGAGCTTGGGAGTAGAAAGTGTCACCATGTTGTTTCGGCCGCTTCCGTAACTGTGATGGCTCCGAGTCTTTGCATTGACACGTTGTGCTGCTTTAGGCCGGCGCTCGGACGATCCTACAGGGGTCGGCGCACACTCGAGTGGGGTTGCATTTGCAGGTCTCTGCAACAGGAATTTCGTTTGTCTTCGAGGTCATTGTCGTCATCTCTACTTTGACCGTCGTTCTCATCTTTCAAGGGTGTGTGTGTGTGTGCGTGTGTGTGTGTGTTTGTGTGTGTGTGTGCGTGCGTGTGCGTGTGCGTGTGCGTGTGCGTGTGCGTGTGCGTGTGCGTGTGCGTGTGCGTGCGTGTGTGTGTGTGTGTGTGTGTCTTTGTGTGTGTGACCCGAACCGGGTGCGGTGGTGCCCTGCGAGCGCGGCCACTGGCGGTGGAGGTTCCCATGGGGCCACGAAGCGTGTGCGGGATGTGCCGAAACGGGTGCGGTGGTGCCATGCGAGCGCAGCCGTTTTGGAGCTCCTTGTGGGGCCACGAAACGTGTGAGGGGTGTGCCGAACTGAGCGCAATAGTGCCTTGCGAACGCAGCTACAGTGGCCTTCGGTGGAGCTCCCTATGAGGCCACGAAGCGTGTGAGGGGTCTGCCGAGATGGTTGAATTCTGCGGTGCAGCCACGAAACGTGTGAGGGGTGTGCCGACATGGTTTCCTGGTGCGGAGGGCAGATGCATGGATGGGAGGGAGGAGGAGCCAGAACCCATATCGAGTCGTCAGCGAAAAACCGAACATGCCAGAGAAACTTGAGACGGCGCTGACGCAAGCCACCGAAACCGAATCGGGGCGGTCGAGCGAGAAAGCCAACAGGCCTGGCCCGAGCGGGCTGCCTGCGCGGCGCTACGTTGCGCAGGGCGCATGGCTTCCCACGCGCCGCTACCCAACGGTAGGCGGCGGGGACTCACCCTGTACCTCCTGCGGCGGAGGAGGAAGAGGAGGAGGAGGAGGAGGAGGAGGAGGAGGAGAGGACGAGGAAGCGGGGTGGGGAGGAGAGAGACGAGCGACGCGCCCGTCTTGGGGTGGAACCCCGAAAGCACCTTGGCCACAGCAGCCAACTGTGCCTTCTTGAGGCGCCTCTCCCTCGAGACGCCCACGCATACCGATCGAAACTTGCCCTCGGGGCTCACGCGCACACTGGGTGAGAAGGAAGCACAGCATCGGCAGACGAGCGTGTGCCCGACCTGCACCACCTGGTGGCCTCGTTCGGAAGCAGCTCATGTCGATGGGAGGAAGGAGGAGCAGGAGGAAGAGGCGGGAGGGAGGGACGCGGGGCGCTGTCTCTTCAAAACGAGGACCCAACACCATAGGATGGTTAAACGAACGCAGGGGAAATCAATGATTTTCGCCTCTTGGGGCCCTCCTGGGAGGCCTCTTGGAGGCTTCTTGGAGCGTCTTGGAGGCCTCTTGCCATCTTGAGCCCGTCTTGGGCGTATTGGAACGATCTTCTGGCGACTCGAGGCCATCTTGGATCGTCTTGTGGGCCTCGTGGGGCCCTCTTGGCCCGTCTTGGAGTCTCCTTGGGCCCGAAATCAGGGGGCACGCGGGAATCCCCGCCAAATTTGAGAAGCTGAGGTCCGGGCCCCCTCAGGAGTGATCGGATTAGGCAAAGGAGCTGACGACACGCCCACTCCGTGCACAGCAGCGCGGTGGCGGATGTCTTTAGTTATGTTGTTCTTGTTGATATGATATGCTCACCTTTCGTCATCTTATTCGTAGTGTTGTAATGACTCTTAGTGAATGTTTTCGTACTGATCTTCTTGTTATTAGTCATAATATTCTTCTTCTCCGTCTTCTTCAATCGCTTCGATTACTCCGCTGGGCCATTTTGTAGCATCGTTGGCACTTGCCTGCTTGTTCGCGGAGGCATTTTGGGAGCCTCGTGGGGCCTCTTGGGAGCCTCTTGGGGCCTTTTTTGGGGGAGGGTCTCGGGGGCCTTGGGAAGCCTCTTGGTGGCTTTCTGGCAGTCCCGGAGGCCACCTTTGGCGGGTGGAGCTCGACATCTCAATTCGGGTTCCTCCTCTTATGTCGTCTCTTGGGCCGTTTGGGGGGCCTCTTTGGATCCTCTTGGTCTGTCTTGGAGCAATGTTGGGTGTCTCCTTGGCAGTCTTCGAGCGTCGGAATGCCGAAAAGGCGAGAATTCTGAAATCCTTTCAAAGCTTAAGGGCAATTCGTCATTTGAGCCGCATGGGCCGCTGTCGTGGGTGCATCTTGGGCCGTCTTGGCCACATTCTTCGGCCATCTTGGGCTCTCTTAGGGCCATCTTGGCCGCCTGAGGGGCCATCTTGGCCATCTTGGAGTCCATCTTGAAGCCATCTCAAGCGGAACAGCCGACGGGAGGTGCGTTTTCCAGGTGGCGTGCGGGCTTGGCCGAAGCCCCACGGGGAGTTCTATAGAAAAGAGCCGAACACCTGACAGACAATTGGCACGCCGTGTACCACTATGGCAAGCCACAGGGGGCGGCGAATATCTAGTGGCCGCGGCCCCACCACGCCACCGTGCGTGGGTCGCAGAGAAGAAGCCTCTTACGCGCTCATCGGGTTGTCTTGGGCGCTTCTTGAGGCATCTTGGAGGCTGTTTGGGGTCTCTGGTGGCCTTCTGGAGGTCTCTTGGAGGGGCCTCTTCTGGGCGTCTTGGGGGCCCGCTGTTGGTCTTGGCGACCATCTTGGGGGCCACCACGAGAAGAAAAAGAGGTCGAAATGCCAGTTCGTCTTCCACCCCCTCTCGGGCCTCTCTTGGGCCCCTCCTGGGGCCATCTTGGGAGCCCCTGGGGCCCGTCTGGGAGGCTTGGAAGTAGTCGTGGGGTGATGAGGTGGCCTCGTGGGCCGTCTTGGCCGCTGTGAGATCAAACAAGAAAAGTACGGATGCTAGTGCCATGCGACGCTTCATGCAACGCTTTGCGTTTTTCAAATCCTTTGACATCTTGGGTCTGCCCTAAAGGCCTCCAGGGCGGCCCCAACAGCCTCAAAGGGAGCCCCTGGACGGGCCTGGGGTGACACATTGGGACAGGTGGGAAGTGTATTCACCCAACCACGCTCCCGAGCTCCCCAGAGAAGTGACCCTGAAGCGCCTGGAGGCGCCTGGAAATTCGTTGCTCCAGAGCGCCTGGCACAGCACCCAATACTGATGGCCCCACGAGACCGGCAGGAGCTCCACTCTGTGCCTCGCGACATGGGGCCGGATTCTTATTTTGCTTCGCATCATTCTCACATTTTTGGCTCGCGCTCATCACCCTCGCGGAGGAGCAGAGCACAGCCACCGCCGCCAGACAGACCCCGTGGCGTCGCGGGCGTCTTTTTCGGACCTGCTCGGGGCGTCCCACGGAGGCCGCTTTTGGGCCCCCGGAACTCGCCAAACCTGTTGGGTCGAAAACCCGGCCTCCCTCCTCCCACCTTCTCCCTCCTCCTCCCACCCCCTCCTTTCTCCATCCCCCTGCCGCCCTCCCTCCTTCCTCGTTCCTGCTCCCTCCTCGCTCCTCGCTTCTCCTTCCTCCTCGCTTTTCCCTAGTCGTCGTTGCCCTCCTCCTCCTCCTCCTCCTTCCCCCTCCTCCCTCTTTCTCCCTTCCATTCCTCTCTCCTACTCCTCCCTCCTGGAGGAGGGCGGGAAGTCTCACCCTCCGTCGCCGCCGCTGTGGCCCTTCACGTCGCCTCCGCCGCCGCCGCCGACGGCGTCGCCGCTGCCCCAGCGAGGAGGGGGACTGGGTCGGCGTCGAGATGGACCGGCCGCAGCGGGCCCTGGGGAAGAACGACGGGACCCCCCGCGCCGCACCCTGACCGTCGCCGCCACCCTCGACAGCTCTGCAGCGGCCTGGTCAGCGGCGCGAAGGGCGGTGGCGGTGGCGTCGCCGTCGTCGTCGCTATCGTCGCCGCCAGCGCCGTCGTCGTCGTCGTCGTCGTCGTCGTGGTCGTCGTCGCCGTCGTCGTCAGAAGAGACGCATACGAATAATCATAATCATAACAATATTGATAATGAGGATAATCAGAAGAAGAGTAGGGACAGACAAGGGCACGCATGGAGGGCGGGCGAGGTGGAGCACAGACGGAGCACGATCGTGGGAGCACTATGGGGAGGAAAAGGGCGAGGAGTTCAGGGACCCGAGCCGCCGCAGCAGCCGGTTTGCCCCCTCGGCCGCCCCCCGCCACTGGTCCGATCCTCGGGCTGGTGCCGATACTCAGGAGGGGAAAAAACACACACACAGACACAATTAATCGGCGATTCCCAGAAAATATGGGAAAATATGGGAAGTGGGGGTGAAGACAAAAACCCAGAAAACATGGGAAAATATGGGGAATCTTTTTATTTGTTTATTTATTTGTGTGTCCCAGTTCCCCTTCAGATACGTCCCCACCCCCAGCACGCTCGCCCGCGGGCTCCTCGGGGCCGCGCCCAAGGGCGACAGGAGCGCGCGCCAGCCCAGGGCGCCTCTGTGGGTCTCGACCTTTGGGGATCTCGTGGGACTTGGCGTGGCTTTCTCGGAAGGTGCATCCCATGGCTTGTCCCCAGTGGTCGCCGCCCACCGAACCACCCCAACCCAACCCGAAGGCCCCGATTTGCCCTCCATTTCCAGTGGGTGAGGTTGGGGGGGTGGGTCGGGGAACATTGAAAAAACACTTGTGGAACCCGTCCCCCCCAACCCGAAATTCGGGTATTCGGGTTCGGTTGGGGTGGCTTGATATGTAGTCAAGTGGGAGTCGGGACCGGGTTGGGCACGCCTGTGGACAGAGCAGTGGGCCTTGCAGGCACAGCGAGCGAGAGGGATGTCTCCCGTGAGGCGGCGAGAGGCCTCCCCTGGCCTCGCTCCCTCGCCTCGCAGTCCAGTTGCACGGCGTGCCGCGCAGGCCTCGCGGTGGCGCCGCGGTGGCCCTTTGCTTGTGGGCTGCGGCCAGGACTTGCACCGCCCTGGGCCCCACTTGGGCCAAGAGTATGGACGCTGCGCCAGCCTGACCTGCAATACGACCGCGCCTGCTGGGAAGGGCAGCCAGCAGCTATAACTAAGGTCCAGGTCGCGTCCCCCACTGCCCTGTTGCGTTCACAGTGTGCCCGCGAAGTAGTACGCCTCAGAGTGGCGGAGCCCCAGCGCAGCATGGCGGCGTGGCACGTCACAAGAGCCTCTGCACCGCTAGGGCGCCATG